CTGCACCACCCCAGTCTTACATCACACAGCTACTACTCCTTGATACCCCCAACATCCTCAGAGCCTCCTTGACAATAATTCTTCTGAATGCCACGTTTGTGTGGAGTTCTGAAATTTATATTTCAAAATAATTAAATTCTCGTGCCACAGATTTACTCACAATTTTCTCAAGAAACGGAGGTATTTCCCCAAGGAACTAAAGATCCCAAAGTTCTTTAGAGAACCATTAGACCTCTAAACATAGTACAATAAATCTGTTTAAAGAATTGGAGACATTAGATATTCAACTGCTAAAAAGTAACTCATTTAATAAGTTATTAAAGAACTATTAATCCTTGTGAAATAGAAGTTCTCCAAACCTGCCAGGGTCAGTAAGGCCTTCTCTGAAATGGCAAGCTGCTTAGTAAGGGCTTGTCATGTGAGTGGAAAGTGCCTCAAGGAAATATAACATAGATGTGCAACTCTCCTAACTCTTCTAACTGTAAAGGTCAAAAAAAGTGTACCCCCCCCATGAGCAAGACTGACAAACTGATGGTAATGGACAAGGTACTCAACAGTTTTTTACCTCAGTCTTCTATTGCGACCTCTCTTTCCACACCTCTCGAGTGACTGGACTGCAAGATGGGGTCTTGGAGAGCAAAGTCTCTCCCACTGTACGAGAAGAGCAGTTTTATGGCCACCTGAAGAACCTGAACATACTAAAAGTCTATGGCATCTGATGAGTTGCATCCCAGAGTCCTTTGGGAATTGACTGATGTAGTTGTCAAACCACTCTCCATAAAATGTCATGGCAGTCAGGTGAAGTCTCTGGTGAGTGGGAAAAGGGAAACATTGCACCCGTTTTTAAAAAGGGTAGAAAGTAGGATGCTGGGAATTACTTAACTGTGAGCCTCACCTCTGTGCCTGGGAAGCTCATGGAACAGATCCTCCTAGAACCCATGCTAAGGCACATGGAGGAAGGGAGGTGATTTGAGACAGCCAGCATGGCTTCACCAAGGGCAAGTCCTTCCCGACCAACCTAGTGACCTTTTACAATGGAGTGACTACATCAGTGGACATGGGAAGGGCTACAGATGTCATCTGTCTGGATTTGTATAAAGCCTTTGACATGGTCCCTCACGGCATCCTTCTCTCTAAATTGGAGAAAGGTGGATTTAATGGATGGACTGTTTGGTGGGTAAGGAATTGGTTGGACAGTCACATCCGGAGCAGAGGGTAATGGTCAACAGCTCAATGTCCAGATGGACATCGGTGACAAGTGGTGGTCTCTACTGGGACCGGTACTGTTTAATATCTTCATCAGGGACATAGACAGTGGGATTGAGTGCGCCCTCAGCGAGTTTGCAGATGACACCACTCTGAGTGATGTGGTTACCACACCTGAGGGATGGGATTTCATCCAGAAGGAAATGAAAAAGCTCAAGAAGTGGCCCCATGGGCCTCACAAGGTTCAACAAGACCAAGTGCAAGGTCCTGCACCTGGGTTAAGACAACCCCTGGTATGAATACAGACTGAGAGATGAACAGATTGAGAGCAGCCCTGCTGAGAAGGATTTGAGGGTACTGGTGGATGAGAGGCTGGACATGAACCAGAAAAGTGCACCTGCAGCTCAGAAGGCCAACTGTGTCCTGGACTACATCAAAAGAAACATAGCCAGCAGGTTAAGGGCTGCCCCTCTGCTCGCCTCTTACAAGACCCCCACCTAGGGTGCTGCATCCAGCTCTGGGATCCTCAGAAAGGACACTGACCTGTTAGAATGGGTCCAGGGGTGGGTCATGAAGATGACCAGAGGTCTGGAGCACCTGTCCTATGAAGACAGTCTAAGAGAGCTGGGGTTATCTAGGCCTGAGAAGAGAAGGCTCCAAGGAGACCTTATTATGACCTTTCAGTACTTAAAGAGGCCTATAAGAAAGATGGGGACAAAATTTTTAGCAGGACTGACTGAGATAGGACAGGGGATAATGACTTGAAATGAAAAGAGGGTAGATTCAGAGGAGATATAAGGAAGAAATTTTTCACAATGAGGATGATGAAACACTGGAACAAGTTACCCAGAGATGTGGTGAATGCCCCATCCCTGGAAACATTCAAGGTCAGGTGGGACAGGACTATGGGCAACTTGAATTGGTTGAAGATATCCCTGCTCGTTGCAAGGGGATTGAACTAGATGATCTTTTAAGGTCCCTTCCAATCCAAACTGTTCTACTGTTCTGTGTTTCTGTGATTCTAACACCAGAGGATTTTAGATGAGATAATGGGAGAAATATGCTCATTCAGCTCAAGTGTTGATTTTTTTCAAATTTACTCTCCCACTCTTGAATAGTCAAAAGCTTTGTCATTTTCCTGAAATGCTCTAGAAGTAGTAATGCTATATTCTAGAAGTAACAATGCTATTTTTGAGCAAAGGAAATGCCTAATAATTTTTTGTAGTTACTTCTTAATAAATAAATTATAGATACAGATGGAAAGAGACTTTAAATATGCAGAGTTCAGATGCTCAAGAGAACAGTTAGGCTGCTCACCGTAAGTTGATTTGAGATAGATGCTGGAAAGATAACAGACTTTAAATCCTAAATTCTTAAAGGATTTAGGAACATTACATACAAAAGGAACATTAAAAATTAAGCATTTAAAAGTAAGGAAATGCTTTATTTGTGGTGACTGTGGCATACTTAATTTTATCCTTGCATGCTAGCATCCTGCACTCTAATTGAGGTAAAAGTCCAGTGAAAAAGATTATATGGGATGATGTAGTTGCTGACTGCATCATGTTGTACACACACGGTGTAACATAGTTAAGGATTTGGCATTTTTTAATTATTTATTGGCAGTCATACTTTGAAACCAAATAGTATTAGTTTAATAGTATTTCGTGTTTAGTATTAAGCAACATTAATCCTATTTAAATAATATCACTCACGATATGCATGTGGTGACTTCTGATTTTGAAAAAAGAAACAACAAAACTTTCTATGGTTGTCTGCAACATTTCTTTAAAGCTTTTTACAGTATGTTGAACTTAAGCCCTTTAAAACTGAACCACATGTCAGCTTTTAAGCCGGAGCGTTCCCATCCATTTTCCTCAGAAATAATAGTCCCCAGTTTTGACAGAAAAGGGTCCAGTTTTCCACCAAAGCACAGAGAATTCCTCTTCCACGATGATCATTACAGGGAAAATATCTGAGGAACGATCGCATGCGGTACCCAGCAAGCCAGCCCCACGTGATTTACCCTATCTGAGGCTGTTCCTGGGGGCAGAGGGCGGGCAGGGGGCAGCTGCCTGTAAGCAGTGAACGGCAGGGTCCTACAGTGACCAATGATTGTTTTGGAAGCAGCCTCCTTTTGATGTAAATGAACAAAATGGATAATCTTTTCCCAACATTTATCTCCGTGAAGAATCTGAACTTTCCTTGGGCAGACGTGAAACTATCATAGCTGGGTAGTGTTTGTGCTTAGTAGTGGCACTGTGATAAAAACAATGGAGGAATTAGGATTTCTCAGGGGAAGGAAAAAACCCCACAGTCTTTGAGAATGAAAAGTGTTAGGTAACGTACAGGGTTACTTTCAGCTCTGCCTGTATGCAGTGAGTAGTAGTAAGGTTGACATAGATGTTTACATAATGAATTGTACTAAGGCTGGTATTTTTTCAGCAGAGCAAATCAGGATCTTCTTCAGTGGTGCCCAGTGACAGGACATGAGGCAATGGGCACAAATTGAAACAAGAAGTTCCCTCTGAACATCAGGAAACATATTTTTCACTCTGAGGGTGATGGAGAGCATTGGCACAGGGAGGTTGTGAAGTCTCCATCCTTGGAGATATTAAAAAGACATCTGGGTACAGTCCTGGGCAACCTGCTCTAGGTGGCCCTGCTGGAGCAGAGGGTTTGGACCAGGTTATTTCGAGATGTCCCTTCCAAACTAAGCCATTCTGTGATTCTGTATTTTCTTTTATTATTTTCTAATAAACTAATGAAAAATTAATTCCCAAATTTGAGAATTGAACTGCACTTGTTCTCATCAAAGGGAACTAGGCATATGACACTGTTCAAAATTGGGACTGTGATGGAGTTTGGGCAAGGACATGTATAAAAACTTCATCAATGAACTATAAATCTTTATCTAAATACCTGTTCCTGTTTATCACTGTTTGTATTTGAAGGTAGCATTAGGAATAAAGGAATGAGTGTGCCAGAATGCTATCTTAAATACGCAATGAGTCTTTATAGGAGAATGATTTGTGAATCAAGGTACAGACTCATGGAAAAATAGGACAGGTAGTCTGGTAGAGGGGTAAAGAGAAACTGTGTAATGCCTTCAGCTTTCTAAAACTCCAGGCAATGATATCTACTAAAGTTGCCAGTTGTGTCTGATAAAGGCATATGGATTGGATCAGGCTCAAGAGTAATACTATCATCATTTCCTCTGTCTAGAATTAATCTCTTTCCACATGCTGAGCAAAGGAATAGCAATCCTTGAACCCATTTTTAAACTAGCTGGTCATGGCTTCTGTTTTCTGTAGTGAACCAACCTAATATCAGAAATGAGTGGGAAAATTGTGATTGATTTCTCCTTTGAGAAACTAGTCACAAGGTGCACATGGAGTTCAGAACCTCATTTTCCTGATACAGCTTTTTAATTGTCAAATTTTCATTTGAGATTTAAGGCTAATTGAACTAGTTAGAAAATGAGTTGGAAGATTGGTTTTTTGAATGTTTTTCCCACTTCCATTAGGTTATTTTGAAAAATTATGTAACTTACTTGACGAGCCCAAAAATTTATAATTAAAACCCTTGCAGTTGGGAGAAACCCAGTAGCTAAGAAGAAACATGATATAAAATGAAGGAAAAGAGAATATCCTTTTAGTCCTTCTCTCAATATATCCAGTTACAATTTTTAATGTTTGAAGGATTTCAAATGTATAAAATAAGCCTGAACAGAAAATTTAACAATACCCATTATGTTTTCTCAGTTACTTCCTAACCCTGAATTTCACTTGCAGGCCCTGGAAAGTGAGTTTGTATCATGTCAACTTCATCAGTGGATTGACCTTATATTTGGCTACAAGCAACGAGGACCAGAAGCAGTGCGTGCACTCAATGTTTTCCACTACCTAACATATGAAGGCTCTGTGAACCTGGACAGTATCACTGATCCTGTCCTCAGGGAGGTAGGTGTTTACTGCTGTTTCATTCTAAAAACTGTTGTCATCTCACAAGAAATGGTACTTCTTCCATCTTTCACTGCTGGAGAAAATTGGTGTGTGACTTGATTCAGAATTTAGTTCCTAGGCGACTTCAGAAGCAAGTTTGAATAAACTAGCAATAAAACAGATGTCCCTAATATATTTAATAGGCAGTTATGATGTGGGAAATTGTAATGCAATGCACATTCTGCAATATATAGTCTGCTACTTTTTATCATATACTTTTGTTAAGTTCACTTAGTAGAACTGAAAAACTGAAAGAAAAAACTGCATCATTGTCATAGGGAAAAAAAATTTAACCTTTTCAGTCAGACGATGTTGGTGAAAATATGTGTCTGAGAAAGAATATATTTGCTAGATTTACAACAGCAAATATTCAGATTACTTTTGTTTTAATCACATAAAGTATAATTAAACTGTTACCTAAACAGAAAATGTTTGCTATTTTTTGTGCATACAAGTATTTATGTTTGTATATATGTATGCGTAAAATATATATATGTGTATATATATACAAGTATTTTAAATTAATTGGTAATTTTTTTTAAAAATTGTTATAGATATCCTGATACATGTTTCCTTCCAGTGAGTGTATTTGTTTTTAGTAAGACTATTAGTTTGAATGATGATTTTCTAATACCATCCATTTGTTGACTAAAACAATTGAAATTTTGTGCAAAGTGTGAAGAAGCAACAGCTGCTAGATGAGTACTGCTGTGATGAAGCTCTACACACAGTCTTCCATTCCCCCAGATAGCTGCCATCTGCTGTATGCAAAACAGTAATAATTTATACATTGCCAGGCAATGAGGTTTTGTTTGTTTGTTTGTTTGTTTTCCAGTCTTGGAGACAGAAATCTAGAGATTTCAGAGAGAAATAGATTTGAGAAACCATTCATATTCAGCTAACTGTTGGGGTTTGTCATGTTGGTTTTTAGCAGTGTGTTGCTGCATCCTGTTGCATTTGATGCTTTTTTAGGAGTGGAAATAAATAACCATTCAGACCCCTGGCTTCCTAGAGCTGGATTTTCACTCTATGCATTGCAAAGTTTAGATTTTCTAAGCAATTAATATTTGCTTAGTTTTAAGAATGACTCGAGTTACTTTGATTCCACTTGCCTCACATATTTAATGTTGATATGTACGTAATAGTTTTCTGAATTTAAAACGTTGAGCATGAAAAGAGTCATGCTTTTCTAGAGATACAAAGAAGCAATGCTTTTTAAAGTATAAAACAGGTGTCAAGCACCATGAACACAAGGGATTTTCACGGCTTAAGGTTCTGATTTGCATGGGCAGACTCCTGTGTCTTGACTTTAAAGGCCTTCTCCCACAGGGCAGCTTGTGGGATTGAGGTCTATTTGTCTATTCACCTTATTTAACATCTTATTACATGATGAGACTCTTTAGCTCTCCTGTGACTCTACTTACATGCATAACTTGTCATCAGAAATTTAAAAAAATTAATGGAGATGTTTTTGTTCACTCACTTGTACATCTAACCCATGCCCTTTCAGTCAATAACATATAAACCTCTTCTTGGGCTATTTAACTTTATCTTCATTGCCACAAGTTGGATTTGTAAATAAAATTCATTGTTAGCAATGAGAAGGCAACAAGTCCAGGAAAAAATGAATCCTTCTAATTTTTGTTATATATAGATAAAAAGTAGTATGCATCCATTTAAAAATAGTGTGCTTTCTCCTGCTAGAGATCTCAGGCATTGTTGATTTGTGCTTTGTCATAAGAAGACTTAAAAAATACTTTTTATTCATTTCTAATCAGGATTAACAGTACATGTGTAAATATAGACAGATTTAGGCCTGCCTTCTGTTTTCCTGGGCGCTGTTTATAAAACTAGCAGACATTCTCTGGCCAGTAATAAAGCATTTGACATCTTGATGATCTAGTGGACCATATATTTGGATGTCATGTTTCTGTTACAAATATATATATTGTTTTCTTGGCTTTTTTGTTGTTGTTTGTTTTGCTTTTGTTTGGATTTGTTTTACTTTATTTTGGCTTTTTGTAGATATTCCAGAAAATAAATTAAAAGCAAAAAGATATTTTAAAAGCCTCTGAAGACCCCTTATAAATGCAGAAATGTAAGGATAGAATACTAGCATCCTTAAAAGTAGTGATAACAATTGTTTATCATATTTTACAGTGGTAGGTGGTGATGTCTGGCATCTTAATTTAGAAACACTGCAATTTAACATTGATTGTACTCTGCAGTTATCCAGAAAAATGCATGTCTCAGTATCCAAGTGCTCTTGATGTTTATTTTGTAAACAAACTGAAATATTTTGGTTTTGTCTCATGGAAGATGGCAATGTTCTCAATAAATGGTGGTAAAATGTGCCAATCAATACAACCTTATTGTCAGGAGCCATTATCAGGCCAATGGGCTCAAGCATGGCAGTAACCTCTTCAAACTGTGACCGTAACTAATTTCATATTGAGCTGAGTCCCAGCAGAATCTATCCAGTGAAATAAGTCTCCAAACAAAAAAAAAACCAAACATCCCATTTAGGTCTGAGCTGATTGAAAGACATAATTTAAACTGGCAGGGCACCATGACCTGTTTATGCTATACCATGGTGTTTTCATTTTCACCCTTTGCTCAAGCATCTCACTTAACCACTAAGGAATATGTTCTTAGCTTTCTGTGAAGAATGTTAAAGAGGTCACTTCAGTAGCCATCTAACTAGAAAAAAAGTATTCAATGGTGGAACAACTTATCCCTGCCATTCCTTGCCTCTTTCTCACATGCATTGGAAGACCTCCAAGAACTCTCTACTGTTTAACAGTGGAAAAATGGCCATCCTGTGCTTTTTCTCTCTTTCAACCTATTCAGTAGAAGACTTTGCATCTGACTTGCTTTCTTCTTTTTACATTTTGAAAATTCCCAGTGGTTGAAACCAGAATGCTGGATAGAATTAAGTTTTAGATTACTACAGTCTATAAAATCACATACATCTGCTTCTGTAATAACTCTTTGGCAACTTAAGAGCTGGATGGGTAAAATAAGCTGATTTCATTTCAACATACTGATTTTGATTTTTCAAACAACTTTGTAATTTTCTGATACCACAAAAAATACTTGATCATAATTTATCTCAAGTAGCCATGAGAGCAACATGAAAGTCCTGATTTACATGCTCCACAGAATGTATAAAATTGAATTTTATGGGTTTGATCTTTTATGATTAGAAATTGGGAAGTTCTCCAGTTCTATCAGTTCTAATGGTCTCTCTTAGTCTGCCCATTGCAAAATGGTTTTCATATTGTAATGAGGAGGGAAAAAAATGTGTAACAAACATTTTCCAGGCCCCAAATTATATTTTTTTTATTTCAACCTATGTTATTCTATTGCTAAATTCTTTCCTTTTGAAAGTAAAAGCAGTGAGGTGAAAGCTTGAAGAACAGCTTAAGGATATTGATTCATTCTTATTTGATAGGTGGAATAATGGATGCAGCACTAACCACAGCAATTACAACATTAAAATGTCAAGAAATTAGAGGTCAAAATAACAGATAATTTTCTTCCTTTTGTCAGATTAAAAATTGACACTGTTTGACAGCACAGGATTTCTAGCTGAGAAAATTATGACAGCTTAACTCATCTTGTACTCGTAAGGCAGTAATTGATAATGAACTTTACCATGACAGTCCTCTCCTGTGGAGAAACATGACAGAACATCCATGGTACAAAGTCTGTATCTCTTTTTAATATGTAAACAGTAGTTATATTGGACATTAGATGTTATTTGGAATTGTCTTTACTGTTAGTTTACATCATAATCCAAATCCTTTCCTCTGGACAGACTTGGCTGACTTCAGGGGATTGATGCTGAGAATGCTAATGTATAAAGAACAACATAGGAAATGTGGTTTATTTGTGATGCTCCAGTGCTACTGGTCCACTTCTTTGGTGAAATACAGTTCCTCCTCTGTTTTCTTCCAGAATGTCTATAGATTTTAGGAGCCTCATTTTTTCTCCAAACACCTGGAAATCTGGGCCTTCAAAAATCCTAGAGATGTGTTTTTTTCAAGTTAGAACCTTGTATGACACAAAGTGTTGTGGCTGAAAGGGAAAAACAAAGCCATTCTGGTCATTAGAAAATGAAACAGATGAGTTAAAATTATTTTTGCTTATTACTACCTTAATTTAATACCTTATAGATTAAATACAAAAAAATGGGCACTTTAGTGCATACAAGGCTAATCACATGTAGTACTGAAAGCACATTTAGTTGAAGAAAAATACTATTTCAGTTTTTCTGATTAGTTTTTTTGGGTTTTTGTTTGTTTGTTTATTTTTAAATCATAGCCAGATCTCTGTTTATTTCTTTTTTAGACTTTCACCTAGTTTGTGATTAGAAATATTTTGAAAAACCTTTTCAGCTTTTGGGTTGCCCTAGACTTTAGACTAACTTGGTGTCATCTTTGTGTTAAGTTGCAAAATCCAGCTTACAGCGACTTCCCTGTGACTGCTGCATCTTCACCAAACACTTGTATCCCCCCAGTCTGGCAGGAATTGCGTGTGAGTAGGAAAGCAAGGCAGTGTGAAGCTAGTGGGCTCAGATATTTTTCTGAGCAGCCACCTGTCAAAATACCTGAGCATACTCACAACTCACACAGCAAATTGAAAAATGATTAAAATTACTAGTGTTTGACAGGCAGTTGCTGTGCCCGTAAACTAATCCTAGTAGAACAGTTTTTCTGGCAGCTAACAGAGCATATGGCCCATGCAATATTTATTTCTTTGGTGGTGACTTGATATTTAGCATATTTAAATAATTTGAAAAGTCATAATGAAGAAGTAGATGCAATGTTTTTCAGCTACCCTCATTTCTGGGTTATATTTTTCCTCTTATATTTCCCTCTGTTATCTCTTTCTTTGATCTGACAGGAATAACAAAGCATCCCTCTGGATCTGCTATAGTGAAATATGCCCACAGG